AGCCGCGCAGCCCTCACCCGGGCCGCGCAGTCCCCGCCCGGCGCCAGAGGCACGCACAGCGAGTAGCTGCGGCCGGGCGGGCCCAGCAGCGCGGCCACGCGGGGGTCGGGGAGCGCGTCGGGGGCGTCGCCGCCGATGGCCAAGTGAGCCAGCGCGCAGCCCGGCAGCTCCAGCGCCAAGCGGTGCGGCGGCGCCATGGCCCGAGCGTAGGCTCTGCGACGCGGCCCCGAGAGGCGCCCAAGCGAAAGTGGGGAGCGCGGGCGGAGGCCCGAGGCCATGGGCTTGTCCGGTCCCGCCCTCGCCACTGGGGAAACGAAAGCTAAGTGACCCGCGGGCGGGGCCCAGCGGGGCCGGGCCGGGGTGGGGCGCCCTCCGAGGCCTCCGCCGCCCGCTCCCGGGGCGCGCCCCAAACGGCGGCGGCGGGGGGGAGGGGACGGGAGCAGGCAGGGCGCGCGGTCCCGGCGGCCACCCCGAGGGTGCGCTCGGCCGGGCGCCCTCTGCGGCCGGGCTGGGGGGCAGGTAGCCCCAAGCCCCGCGCGAAGCTCTCCGCTGAGGTTTGCGTCCCGGGGGTGCGCGCGCGGGTGTGCGAGTGTGTCTCGGCGACGGCGCGCGCCCGAGCTCGGCGTGTTAGCGGGGCTCTCTGGCTGCCCCCGCCGGCCCCCGCCGGCTCTTCAGGGCGGTGCGGCTCCCGACGCCGCAGGACTTGCAGACCCGGTGGCCCCATACTGGGCCTCAGGCCCCAGCTGACCAGCTGTCTCGCCCGCACTCTGACCGAAGTCCTGTGAGCTGCTTTGACGGGCTGAACGGGGAACGTTCTCCCTCCTCTTGGAATTACTGCCCCCACCCTTGCTGACTTGCAAACTAGGACGTATTGCCAGATCTGCACGCGAGCCAAGTGAAGTCCTGCCTTCGGGTCCAGTTCGCTGGTGGGGACAGGCTGTACCAGCCTGAAGCCCGCGTCGGCGGCAATGCTGCCCCGGTGTTTGTTTTTGCTCATTAGCTGACACCTTGGAGGAGGATTGTAAAGCAGCAACACAGGGCGGGCTCAGTCGGTGCAGCTTCTGCCTTAAGCTCAGGTCATTAGGGTCCTGGCATCCATAACAGCATTGGCTCAGGTCATGATCTCAGGGTCCTGGGATCCAGTCCCTGGATCGAGGCTCCTTGCTCAGCGGGAAGCCTGCTTCTCTCTCTGACTGCCATGCCCCCTGCTTGTGAGCGCTCTCTCTGTCTCTCTGACAAATGAATAAAATCTTCATTAAAAAAAAAAAAAAAAAAAAGATTGCCAAGGGGACTGAAAACAAAAATCCTGTGGAGAAAACTCAAACATTTAGAATAATGATGAAAAACATTAGATGAACTGAGGGCAAATAAATTTTATCATTTAAGGAATTTGGAGTTAGCACGGGTGTACCTTTAATTCTGGAAGGAATACAACTTTCAGACAAACAGGAACTGTTATAGATACATGGTTGAAGTATGGGCTAATAGACAAGGAGCAATTCAGAGATTCAGTTGTTTTTAGCTCTCTGAGAACAGGATCATTCTTACGCTCAGTGGGCAATCAGACTTGGGGCATTTAGCGTGCAGAGATGTTCCCACATGTATAGTATTCTGGCGGGAGTGCAAATTGGTTCAAGTTCTCCGGAAGCACACGTACACTGTATGAACCAGTGATTCCAATCCTGGTATATACCCAAGATAAACGCATACATATATGTCAACCAAAAGATATGTACAAGAAAATACGTGGCACAATAGCAAGATATTCCAAATATCCATCCTAATGACACAATTAAATGTACTGCGGTGTATTCAAACAATGGAATCAACAAATGTGAGGTATGACTCTGAACAGTCTGCGGCTAGACACAGCAGAGTGGGTGAGTCTGTAAACACAACACAGGGAGAGAAGCCTAACAGAGCGAGGGCGTGCTGTGATAACCTAGAGGATGGTTTTCAGAAAACAGGGCAGGGTTATCTTTGGTTCAGGGCCTGGGGGGAAAGTCTTGGAGACTTCTTTTTTTTTTTTTTTTAATTTCTTTTCAGCATCTTGGAGACTTCTTGGTGACATTTGATTTCTTGATCAAGGCACTCGTTCCACACATGTGTTCATTCTGCCAAGAGCTGATTGTGCTGTGCGCTTACAGATTATGCCCCTCTCGATGCACGTACAGTAGTTGAGGTAGGCACCGATGTCCAATAGGCCCCAGTAAGAGATTTGCACAGAAATGTTATGATGATTACAAATAACTGAACGGATTCCACCGTCTGCTAATGGGTTGCAGCCGCTGCTGGGACATCCTGCAGGAAAGGGTCCACCTCAGGGAGCATGGGGTACATTAAGGATGTGCAGTCGTTTGGAGGAAAAAGTCTCTGGCTAAAGAAAAATGATGATGACATTTGGCTGGTTTCCAACTGCAATTTGGATGTCTTTAGAACTGACCAACTCCTAACTAGAAGGCCTAAGGGGGGCTGCCTTGTACCTCCTCCAGCCTACACCTGTCTGAGCAGTTGGAAGAAGAAATCCCTCCCTGGCCTGTGCAAGCCATGACATTGAATAAGACAGTCTACCAGTCCTGAGTCTTACTCTTAAATGGAGGGGAAAAGACAAGGTGGAAGGAATAGAACATCTGTTCCATGACTTTTGTGAGTTCTTTGCTGGAAAAGACTTTGACTTCTTTATTTTATTTCTATTTTATTAATATTTATTAATATTTTATGAAAAAATAAAATAATGTGCTAATAATGATCAGTCATTGAGCAGTGAGGCAGGTGTTTAAATCCAAGTTCAAACATTTACTCCCTCTGTGACATGAGTTTCCCAAATTATAAAAGAAGTTAGTGCACGCTAAGTTCAGAGCAGTGCCTGGTCCACAGTGCTGGATGGTAAGCTGGCCACTGCTAATTTATTATGCCGGCAGTACTCTCGGGGCTTAACATAGGGTTATGTCATGTAATCCTGAAAATGCCCCATGTGAGTGTGATATTAATATCCATGTTTTCCATATGTGTTTATCAGACCAGGCAGATAAAGAAACTTACCCAAAATTAAACACTTCTGGCTGAACTAGGATTCATACCTTATAATGTTTGGCTTGAAAAGCCTGCATGGCTCCCCTCTGTGCCATACCTGATACTCAGTTCAAGATGTAAACTGACTTGGTTTTGTTTCTTCATATACATGTGATCTAGCAAGAAAGAAAAACAAAAGCTATTTCTTGACTGAATCATATCACAGTGATATTTCACAATGCTTTGGGCTAAGATGATTTCCACTTGGACTCTATCCACCAGTGCATAATTGGAAATCATTACACATTGGCTTGCTATTTTGCTGAATTTACTTTCAGTTTCCTTTCTAAGTAAAATGGAAGTCATCTTTGTTTCCATTCAGAACATAACACTACTGGAAAAACAATAGCTATCCCGAACTGAACACTTATAGTCTGCTAGACAATGTCCCTATTTATGTGATTCTCCATCCATTAGAATTTTCAGTCTTCACACATAAAGTCCCATGAGACACCAGTATTTGCAGACGAGGCAATGGAGACCCAGAGAAATAACATAAGTTACCAAAGTCACATGGCAAGTGATGAGCTGGGCTCCTGGTGCCAGAAGCTTCCCCACTGGGACTGTTGCAACTTTCCACAGGTCTCAGGAAAACCTGAAAGTACCTGCTCAAACTCAGCTCTGATTAAAAAAAAAAACTCAAGGAAAAATAAGTTTCAGCACAAAATTTGACAGTCCTTTCTAAGAAACTGTAAAAATAAGGAAGAAGCCACTTGTACCTCTTGACAATTAAGAACCATCTTAGAAAAGCATCTGATTTTCCCATGGTCTTTTATTTTTTTTATTAAAGGTTTTCTATATTTATTTGAGAGAGAGAGAGAGAGAGAGCATGAGCTGGGGGAGAGGCAGATGGAGAAAGAGAGGCAGACTCCCCGCCGAGCAGGGAGCACAATGCAGGACTCGATCCCAGGACCCTGGGATCATGACCTGAGCCAAAAGCAGACACTTAACTGACTGAGCCCTCCCAGGCATCCCTTCCTATCGTCTTTTAAAAATAAAACAGAAGTGGGGAACCTGGCTGACTCAGTCAGAGGAGGGAGTGACTATTAATTTTGGGGTCATGAGTTTGAGCCTTATGCTGGGTGTATTTAAAAATAAACCATAAATAGGGGTGCCTGGGTGGCTCAGTGGGTTAAGCCTCTGCCTTCAGCTCAGGTCATGATCTCAGGGTCCTGGGATTGAGCCCCACACAGGGCTCTCTGCTCAGCAGGGAGCCTGCTTCCCCCTCTCTCTGTACCTGCCTGTCTGCCTACTTATGATCTCTGTCTGTCAAATAAATAAATAAATAAAATCTTAAAAAAAAAGCATAAATAAATATGCAGGAAAACATAAATGTCTGCATTTCGGCACTATGAAAATACAGATGATGAGTAACTAAAGGCAGATGAAGGATACATGTTATGTGCCTGTGCTTTTTCTAACTGTGATCCAAAAGGGGCCCCGAGGCGTGTGGGCTCTGTCCTCAGCCTGCACAGGTCAGTCATACTTTGCATTCTTTGACTTTCATAACAAGCAGTCAGTGCGGGGTGGGGGGGGTGTGCTCGGGCAGCACGCCGGGGCGGAGCCCCCACGTGTGGTATCATGCATGAGCAATGCCTCTGAAGTGGGGACTGTATCTCTCCAGGCTGCCGCTCTCTGCGGGACTGAGATACAGATGGACAGAAGGCCTTGATCTGTATCCAATTAGAAGCCTCTGGTGACCCAGAAGATAGGTGAAAGGTGAGGCGGAGAGAGTCAGCTGCTGGCTTGATCCTGAGCCTCGGGTCTTGGCGCTGTTCCAGCTTTCAGTTTCATGAAAAGGAAAATCGAAACTTGAGCTCAGCTGAGACTCAGTCAGAGGTGTGTCCGTCCCGCAGGTGTGATAGGCTGGCCCAGCGCATATAAACAGAATCCCCAGGTTCCGTGCAGCCCCGGGGCACCCGGTCACCATGTGGATGCTCGTGCCCTTCGCTTTTGCCGGAAAGCTGCTGAGTTCCCTCCGGAAGCCACTAGGCTCTCTGTGGGGCAGCGTGGTCCCCTGGTTCTTCTGGCTCAGGTCAGCACTCTGGCTGGCAGGGGGCAAGAACACCCGGTTGGCACCTCCGAGGGGCCAGGGAGAACGGCAGGAGAGCAGAGGGGAGGAGGAGGAGGGCCCAGACCCGCCCACCACCCCCACCAGCGTCAACTACCACTTCACCCGCCAGTGCAACTATAAGTGTGGCTTCTGCTTCCACACGGCCAAGACGTCCTTCGTGCTGCCCCTGGCTGAGGCCAAGCGAGGGCTCCAGATGCTGCAGGAAGCTGGTGAGTCCCCCGTCCCGGGAGGGCATCAGGGCACAGCCGCTGGCTGGGGGCAGGCCCAAGGGCGAGAGCTCACACAGAATTTGGGATGCTCCCCAGCCCACCTTACGAGGGAGTATTAGGGTGAACTGGGGTGGGATCTTAGGCCTTCGGAACCAGAGCTGGCTGGCACAGACGGTAAGGGATGCAAACCCATCTCTCCTGGAGCCACCAAGTAAGCAGAAGTCTGTGCACCTGCCAGGCTCCCAGGGCAGCCAGCGTGGGCCAAGAGACAGGATGGGAAGTCGTGCCACTTTCTGAGTTGGTCCAAAGTGCTGATAGAGTGGGGCTTTCCAGAAACAGTAAAAGAGGAAAGTTGAAAACAAAGACACAAACTTTGACTTAAAAACTATAACGTTTGAAGGGTGCCTGGGTCGCTCAGTCGGTTAAGCACCTGACTCTTGGTTTCTGCTCAGGTCATGATCTCAGGGTTGTGAGATTGAGCTGCATGTCAGGCTCCACGCTCAGGGTGGGGGGGGGTCTGCTTAAGATTCTCTCACTCGCTCTATCCCTCCCCGCTCTCCACCCTCTCTCTGTCTAAAATACAGAAATACATCTTAAGAAAAATAAAAGAATTACCATGTTTGAGTTTTTTACTTTGAATCGTGTAAGTGCTCCTAACATGAAACTTTAAAGAAGCTATTTACAATACAAATATGGCAATGACTTTGCTCTAGACTTGTTTGCTGAACTTTCCCGAATCAGTACAGTGAAGGCATCTTGGGGAGAGCTCGGCCTGGCAACATCTTCCACCCTAGACCTGTCCCTTCTCACCTCTTCCTGTCTTTCCTCGAGCTCCAGCCAAGCTCGTAACTTAGCAGCCTTGCCCGCTTTTTCTCAATTTGCTTAACTTTTTTTATGGAAGTATACCATGTATGCGCAAAACTGCACACATCCTGAGGGTTTAGCTGGGCGAGTTTCACAAGGTGACCACACCCACGTAAACAGCCCAAGATCTTGAGAGAGAACATCACAGCATCCAGAAGCATCTCCCTTCCAGCCACTGCCCTCGCCAGGTAACCATGAGTTTGTCTTCTAACAGACAGTAGCTTTTGCCTGATTTTTTACTTTATATAATGAAATTACACCATTTGCACTGCCTTGGATCTGGCTTATTTGGTTCTCCATTATGTTTGCACAATCATCCATAGCTGTTCATCCAAGTACAGACCCGCCTCACTGGTCCCAGTGGGTTTTAGCTCAGGGTCTCCCCATTTCTCACCTGGATTGCTGCAATTCATATAATTGTCTCTGCGGTCCCCATTGGGACATCAAGTTTCTCCACCCCAGTGCCTCTAGGCACATTGTATTACACCCCTTCTCCCCCAACACCTGCCTAAATCCAGCCTGTGATCATGCTGTCCTCACTTTCTGGAATGCCCCTCTCCTTCATTTGTGATCCCTTGGTGCCTATTACAAATATGTATTATAACACTTTTTTAAAAAGATTTTATTTATTTATGGACGCCTGGGTGGCTCAGTTGGTTAAGCAGCTGCCTTCGGCTCAGGTCATGATCCCAGCGTCCTGGGATCGAGTCCCACATCGGGCTCCTTGCTCCTCAGGGAGCCTGCTTCTCCCTCTGCCTGCCATTCTGTCTGCCTGTGCTTGCTCTCTCTCCCTCTCTCTCTCTCTCTCTGATAAATGAATAAATAAATAAAATCTTTAAAAAAAAAAAAAGATTTTATTTATTTATTTGAGAGAGAGAAAGCATAAGCAGGGGGAGGGGCAGAGGAAGAAGCAGTTTCCCACAGAGCAGGGAGCCCAACATGGAGCTCAATCCTAGGACCCTGGGTTCATGACCTGAGCCGAGGGCAGACGCTCAACCAACTGAGCCACCCAGGCGCCCCTATTATAGTTTTTTTTTATAAAAAGTTATGCCATTATGTTTTGTTTTGCTGTTTTGTTTTTAATATTTGGATCCCCCAGAGAGTTTGAGTTCCAAGGTAGAATTTGAGTGTTCTTTGTATCTTTGTGGCTACCAGGGGGTTGATGAATGGTTTTGGAGAGATGGATTAATGAATGAATGAATGAATGAATGAATGAACGAAGGGAGGACTAGTGTCATGGGAAGAACCTAGCTAGAACCTAGAATCAGCTCAGGTCCTGATTCCGGAGTCCTGGGATCCAACTGGACGTCAGGCTCCCTGCTCAGTGGGGAGCCTGCTTCTTCTCCTCCTTCTGCCTGCTGCCCCCCGGCTTGTGCTCTCAATCTCTCTCTCTCTCTCAAACTTTCAATCTCAAGTAAATAAAATCTTTAAAAAAAGGATAGTGCCCATACCAACCTCAAAAAGTTGCCACATGACACAAATAAGTGAATGTTCAGGGGTTTTTAAAGCAAGTATAAACTATTATGGTTATAATTAATATTTTTATATAGTGATTGCTCAGTTTTAAGTAAATAAAGCCAAAGTCAATTAAAATGATCAAGTGACCTCTAAGTGAGATTTCTGGTTAATAGAGGAAAATCTATTTTGGTGATGATTAAGAATGTAAAGCTAAATGTAAATTATATTTAAAATGTACTACTCGGGTGGAAGGTGCTTTTACAACATATTTTTTACTTCTCTCACGTACACACGGAGAAAATGGAGCGGAATTTGGCCTCTGTGAGCATCAGTTATCCATCCGTGCTATGGTACGATCACTCCTGATAGGTTAACTTCATTGTGAAGTAATTGTTGTCCGTCTATGATCTGAACTACGCACCTGCATCCTGTTCCTTCAACTTTCTGTTCCTTTCATCCTGTCTACATCTTCCCCTCAAATTCTTCAAGGGCCGCTGGCCAATACACCACCTCACCTTCTCCGGTTAATCTGATCCTACTTCACCACACTGTCGGGAATAATGATGTTTCTACCAAACGATGGTCACTGTTACACAGGCAGGCTCCCAGCATGTTGGATTCCAATAGTGAGATGACGGAGTCCATCAATGTCCAGACATAGAAACATCTGAGGGAGAAAGACGGTGTTGAAAACAATAGCAGATGGCATTTGGAGTCCAATAGTGAGATGACGGAGTCCATCAATGTCCAGACATAGACACATCTGAGGGAGAAAGGCGGTGTTGAAAACGACAGCAGATGGCGTTTGGTCCGCCATAAAGCTGGGCTGTGCTGGGAGAGCTGGGGGAAGGGCGGTGCCCCTGATAGAGATGAAGGCTGTGGAGCTTGGATACCCATCCTCGCTCCCATTTTTTCCCTAGTCTTATGATCCTGAATAATCCTTTGAACCTTCCTGAGCTTTGATGCCAGCAACTAAAAACCAGGATAATAATCCCTTCCTTGCTGAATGGGTTTCAGGATTAAATGCTTGCCTGAACCATGTTACCTTGGGTGAGGTTTGGGGAGGCCAGATGCAGATCAAGAGAGAAAAACCGGAAAGAGTCGTGTAATTTGCTATTCACTGTTCCTGGGGCAGGACAGTCCTCGCCTCACAGGAAGTCCTGGGTCGGGACAGGAGAGGACTGTAAATGTGACCCCATCAGTGTGGTTTTCACAGGAAGGAACCGATAGGGAGGCAAAGCCAGCTTAGCATGGGCTAGTCTGAACAATTTCAGCGAGCCCTGGGTGCCGGCCGGGGCTGTCCCGGTCGTCCGAGACCTGGCCCTGGGACGCAGAGGGCAGAGGACCATGGCCCTGAGAGAGACCCTCATAGATCAGGGGCTTGGGGTGTTGCTCAAGAAGAGGTGACCACCCTTCAGCCGGGACCTGGAGACTGAGTCAGAGCAGCATTCCAAAGGCTGCGCTACAGGGAATTTGCACAGCTTAGATTTTCACGCACAGTGTTCATTACTTAGCTGGTACAAAGTTTATTGAACGAATCTCAACAAATAACATTCTCAGGGAATTTTACGGCATAATGTGCTGTTTGCCCCTTAATAAGTTCCCCAGCCCTCTCTGCCAGCCTGGCTGGTGTCTCTAATTATTTCGTTCCTATGACCAGATCTGTTTGCACTTCTTACCAGTCTCATGCTTCCCCCTTTGACCTCACATGTGCTTCTGTTTCTGTGGCTCATCAGCCCGGGTCCTTCCTTGCCATGCTCTGAGGTGCCTGGTGTCTGTCTCTAATCTGAGCATGCTGTCCCGTGCCCATGCCTTCGACACCCTCAACATCCACTGGAGTGGGCATCTCACACTTCTCTTAGCGGAGGCAGTTGCTTCCTGATTACGAGTTCATTCTGGAAATGGCCCACTCTGATGTGGCCACTAGCACTGGGCATCTAAGAAAGACGCACTCAGCCAACCGAATTGAACTGAACTGAATTCAAAATGAACTCCACTAGGTTAATATCACCGTATAAAGTCTGTATTTCACGAACTTCTGGACCTCCTAGTTCATGTCCACATTCCCTCCAATCTTTCCTTCACTCCACTAAAATTCCAGTAGCATCACTGAAAGCAGGGGAACAAACGCACAAAGAAATCAACGCAATTGTTGGAACTGGTGGATGGCACTTGGACATCTTCAGCCTGTGTGCATAGGGCTGCCCGAGTTCTCCAGCCCGCCCCGTGGAATGCAGTGCATTTCAGACACGAGAACCATCTGATCACACAGAAGTACAGCACTGATCAAGGAGGGAGTGAGGCAGGAGCGAGACAGCAGGTCCGAGGCAGATCCCCTGCTGCCCCCACCACAAGGAGAGCCCCTCTTCCTGCGCATGACAGAAGGCATATTTTCAGAAGGATCTGGGCACCGAGGCTGGGCTCAACCACCCCAGGAGAAGCAGGGAGAAGAAAAGCACCATAGTGAAGATGGGGGAGTGAGAGTCTGCCTGCTGGGTGTGAGAGCCCACATTCTGGGGTGCAGATACCCAGAGGGTATGGCATAGCAGGAGCAGAACAGAATGGCCCAGAGGCATGACCAAGGCTCCCAGCATGTGGGACGTAATCCAGGGACTAAGTCAGTTTCTCTCTCTGTCGCTCTGCAGCAGAACCCTCCAAATGAGGGGTTTCTTCCTCAATCACAGAAATTCCCCTTCCACTCTTTGAAGCATCACTCAAATAAGAAAGGACAAATAGAAACACTGAAGTAAAAGGCAGACACCAAAACAAGCAAAGAGAATATAGGAAAACTTCAAAACATCTGTAACCGATAATCCCAGAGAGATAAGAGAAAATTTACATGTAAGAAATAGCGATGCGGTGCTAAGAAAATAAGATGTGGGAAAGTCTGGGGAACGGAAACTGGGATTTCTAAAATTAGAATTTTAATAGTAAGACTAAAAGATAAGGTCTTGGGAAAATGGGACGCAGGAGACACAGCAGGAAGGGCGGGTGGTTACCAACCAGAGCGCCAGTAAACCCTGGACAGGATCTCCAGAGAGATCTGCACAATGGTGAAGGGGTAGGAGCTCTCAAACACACGGTATGAGAAACTTGCCGTACCAGAAGAAGCGGTCTTTTTCCAACAACGACCTGCCAAGTGGCCAGAACAATGAATAGAGACAGATTTGGCTAAGGCACCTCACCTGGAAATGTGGGGACACTGGAAAGAAAACTTCTGGAAGGGAAAGAGTTATGCACTTTAAAAGGTTATAAACCAAAGTGTTATCAGGCTTCTGAACAGTAATATTAAAACCTAGAAGACAACGAAGCATGCCTTTAACATTCCAAGCTCAAAGTGACTTCACCCAGAATACTATACCTGTCCAAACGAATGATCACAGATGAATTTTGAAACATATAAGTAGGATATCACCTTGATTCATATTGTGCTTTTTTTTTTCAGGAAACTGCTAAGGGCTTTTCCAAAACAAGGGAGTGCGTCAAGAGACGAAAGGGGAGGAATTCCAGGCCAAGAGGCACCCAGCGCGTGGGAGAGGGAGGGGCCACCAGGGCTGGGTGCACTGAGCGGTCTCAGGCTAGAGTCCCAAGCAAGACCATTCTGAGTGGGACACGGGGTTTTCTGCACATCCTTGCGCTGTCTTCTCCATCCCTGTAACTGATTCCCTACTTTAAAGCACATCTATTTTATTATTTTTATTTTTTTTAAGATTTTATTTACTTAGTTATTTGAGAGAGAGCAAGCATGAGCAGCAGGGAGGGGTAGAGAGAGAAGCAGAGAGCCTGATGCCCGATCCCAAGACCCTGAGATCATGACCTGAGCCAAAGGCAGATGCTTAACTGCCTGAGCCACCCAGGTGCCCTAAAGTGTATCTATTTTAAAGCAGGGGGGAAGGATAGGCCCTGGGTCATGTATATGGTTAGTTCCCCCTGCCAAGCCCCGTGGGGAGCATGGGGAGCCAAGGTTGGGGGTGGGGGCTGGGGATAATGGGTAGCTTTCATTTCATTTTTTGTTACTTTGAGAAAACATTCTTCTGTCATTAAAATAATGACAAGGGGTGTTTGTGCAACGGGGGTGGGGGGGGAACGGAAAGATTCACGTTCTGCCTCTCACAGGGATGGAGAAGATAAACTTTTCGGGCGGAGAGCCGTTTATTCACGACCGCGGCGAGTACCTGGGCAAGCTGGTGAGGTTCTGCAAAGAGGAGCTGCGGCTGCCCAGCGTGAGCATCGTGAGCAACGGGAGCCTGATCCGGGAGCGCTGGTTCCAGAACTACGGTGAGCTTCCCGCCCTCACGCTGTGGTCACAGCTGCAATGACTGGTGGTTCCGAACACCCTGGTCCTTAGGCCAGGCTCGCTGGGGGAGGAGACACCAAACTCGAATCCCTCTGCAAGCCCGGCAAGCTTCTGCGGGACTCTACACTTAGAGCCCTGTACTCGAACAGGTGTGGCAGGACAGGTAACAAAATGTTAATAAGCGCAACTATGTTACTCATCCCAGTTCAGCAGGTGCTGAGGCCAATGGCTTTAGCTTAGCCACTAGCAGGGAACACCGACACAGTTCTGCAACCTCTACCTTATTGCTTGCCACTGATATTTTATTTTTAAATATTGAAGGAACCATCACTTCATTAGTCTCATGAATGAAACAATTGGACCAAAACCGTATTTCCTATCTTTGGCTCCATATTTGGCTGCTGAAGAAAGTTAAGTAAAATATCTGCGTGGGGACTGAAGCTCAGACTAATTATATCAGAACCTCGTGCTGTGTCACAGACCAACCTGGGGGGCTCCCAGGGATTCTACTCCGCGGCCAGGATGGCGAACCACAGATCCTAAGACCATGGCGTTCCCTTACGGCTGAGTTTCCGTAGGGGTGATATCCCTAGAGTAGCACCCGGAACGAGGAGGGAGCAGTGGAGAATATTAGCTGTTATTTCTACTGTCATTTACGTAGACAGTCATAACCTCTCAGAGCACAGTTTTCTGTTCTCACTTTGTATGAGCTGTTGGAGCCTGGACATCACTGCAAGAGGTGTTGCCTTTACCCTCTGTTGAGGCAGCGCACAGGAAGTCTCTGACCACACACCCCTGCTGAGACGGTGGAGAGATGCATGTGGGGAGGGAAGACTGGATGAGGGCGGGGCAGCCTGTCTCATGAGGGGGAAGCAGGAAGACAAATGCGAAAGTCTCTGGGGAAAGTAGATCAGGGAAGACCATAAGATGACCTGTGAGAACCAAAATGACTGTGAAGGGAGTCACTTAGTGAAACGGGGTCAGAAGTTTCCAAATAAACTCTGGGAGCCGGATTCAGAGAGGGAAGGAGGGTTTAGGGAACGGTATGAGCAGGGGAGAATCGGTCGGGCTTGCTGGCACTGTCCCCGAGCCATGCTCTCCCTCCAGCACTGGTTCCCCATGCCCCGTGTGGGACGAAGGATCACAGCATCCAGGGTCAGAAGCTCAGATGCTGGTGTGGGAGACTCTATGTGAGGGAGTGTGGAGCTGCAGAAGAAAAACCCGCTTCAGTCGTAGGGAGACCATAAGCAAGTGGGAGGCCATGAAGCATGGGAAGTGCCGTGCTCTGTCCTGGTGGACGGACGGGCAGCCCGTGAGTCCTGAGCTTCCATGGACGTCTATCTTCTGTGGGAACGTAGGGTTGGTGTTGCCAAATTCAGAAATCTACATTCCATGTTAAATCTCCCAATGAAATACTTGCAAATAATTTGGAATATTGTCGGATGTCATGAGGGAATAAGACAGCAATGTTTATGTATAACTGTGTGGTCTGCAAGAGAACCATTTTGGAGAAACCGCCACGTCTCTAAGTTTGACAATTTTCTGGGAGCGCTCACTCACAAGACTCAGTAGCCAGTAGACTCATGGCTGAGGTTCATCAGGGCAAAGGCTGCGGTGCAGAAATGGCAGTGATGGGCATCACGGGGGGCCAGAGACACGGGCTTCTGAGTCCTTCCCTTCTAGGATGTAGAAGATGTGTTTTCTCTCACGCTGTGAGCTATAGGGACATGTCTGGAACGTTGTTGCCGAGGAATGTTCATGTGAGTCTTAGGGTCTGAGGCTTTTATGCAGGGCTGGTCTCTCAGACACGTACCGCTGGACACCATCCATGGCAGCTGAAAGGCAGGACTCCCAACAACAAAACCAGCTACATCACGAATCTTGTGCAATGATCCCAGTGACTCTTGACAAGCTGACATAACATGCCCCATTGCTCAGACATAGACACATCATCAACGGGAGACACAGAGAGCATTCTGGGGGCTACATGCGGGGACTGGCCAAACCTCCATCATCGTTGTGCCCTTCCAGAGACTCACAAGGAGTCAGGGAACAGATCTGCTGCGCTAACTCTCTCTTCACAAGGGCTCCTACAAGACAGTCTGAGAGCAGGAGGAGGGGATATAATCCAGATGTAGCAATTAACGAAGGACCTCATTTAAATATACCAATAAACGCTCGCACACATGCACGTGTGGCTTTAGGATGGTCAAAGGGCCGTCTCCTCCAGATCATCTCCGTCACGTCATGATACGTATATTTTTTCTAAGATTATTTAAACAAATACCAAGTATAGTTGACATTTCTGTGAGTGTTGTAGGTATGAAAAAAAGTCTTTTTAAGCATTAGAACTTAGATACAAGCAAGATGTGTGTTAACATAAAGAGAGATAAATGATCTGAAAGTGTTTGTCCTTGAACAGAAAAGCTTAAAGGTGCTCATTTTCCCTCAGGTGAGTATCTGGACATCCTCGCCATCTCCTGTGACAGCTTCGATGAGCAAGTCAATGTCCTTATCGGCCGTGGTCAAGGAAAGAAGAACCATGTGGAAAATCTTCAGAAACTGAGGGCATGGTGTCGCGATTACAGAGTGGCCTTCAAGATAAATTCTGTCATTAATCGATTCAACGTGGATGAGGATATGAGGGAACCCATTAAAGCCTTGAACCCTGTCCGCTGGAAAGTAAGTAGCGCGTCCCTTTTGCTGAGGGTAGTTCAGAAAATGTTCCGGAGAGACTTTGACACTGAAACCCAAAATGTCTAGGTGAGAAAGGACTCTGCTCTGACCGAACCGGCTGGGAAAGTCCTTGGTCCTTGGTCCTTCTTCCAGTTCTCTTAAACTTTAAACTGCCTCCACTCCCTCTGTCCCAATCTCCCCTCTGAAAACTGGACCCGATTCCCTTCTGCGATATTGGGAGGATAAAGGTCAAAGGTTATAGTCGGGGGCACCTGGCTGGCTCAGTCAGTGGAGCCCGAGATTCTTGACCTTGGGGTTGTGAGTTCAAGTCCCACGTTGGGTGTGGAGATGACTCAAAATTAAAATCTTAAAAAAAAAAAAGAAGAAGAAAAGATACAGTCAGTGCTTGGACAGGTTCTGAAGAATGTGCCCATAGAAAACCTAACCTGGATGTATTTATTAAATATATTTAGACTGGATTTCTTTTTAAAACTCTCGGCTTAGTCATCAATGGATAAATGTTCTTCATAAATTCTGTTAATACATTTTTCTTTGAATTATTTGAAGATACTGGGGCAACACTATTCCCAGGTTGTGGCAAAGCTTATTTGCCAAGATCTGTGCTTTAGGACTGACCCTTCGGTCCGCTACGACAAAGTCTAAAGTTCAAACTCAGGGCGTGTTTACAGCCCACGATGTGCAGGATTCAGAAATAACAGTTAGTCATTCTTGCCCCTGGTTGTTCCTTCGGAATCAACTTGGGGAACTGTTTAAAAAGCAACTTCCTGGACCTGCACCCCCTGCCCAGAAGGAACTGGAGGTGGGACGGTGGGAGGAACAGAGGCTGTGGTCCAGGAAGGGGGAGGGGCGAGGGCCTGAGGCAGGCTCTGGGTTCTTAGATCTTCCTTCTAGAACCATCTGCCCATCACTCTCCTTTTCCCTGACAACCCCCTCCCCCTCTGTCCCACTTCTTTTGGTCTTGCTGTCTTCCTCATTATTCTCTTTTCAGCTTCTCTGTATAGGTATATACATTTTTCCTCTTGACTTTGGTTTGCCAGGACCTCCTCGTGGCCTCTCTCTCTCAGCGCTCTCTTCTCCGATCTTAGACCTTCTCCTGTGGCTCCCCCTCGCCGATCCACTCCAGAACTGCCTGTTGAAAACCCTGCGTTTTCAGGGGGGGAACAGATTAGCTGCTGTCTGTTTGGAGAGCAGGTTTCGGCTCAGATCACGGGTGTCTGCAGGCTGCAAATCGATGGAAATCGATGTTCGTGGGTCAGGTGTAGGTCAGCCCCCTAGGCTGCCTCCTCCGTGTGAGGGCCTGGGCTCGCAGCCCCGTCAACAGTGCATGGGCCGGAGGAGACCTCCTGGTATTCCTCAACAGAGGGCTTTGTGGTCACCGGGAGGCTTACCGTAGTGACAAGAGAGTGGCCCCTCCTAACCTGGCGCAGCCAATCTCACCCTCCTCCCCCCATTCTGCTTCTCAAGCTCCATTCGAGCTGTGGATTCTAGAACCAAAGTCACCAGGGAAGAAGCCCACGTATGTCTTCCCCTGCCTGATGTTCAAATCAGCGTGGGCTCCCAACCCGTGCGGACACCTCCTCTGACCTCCCTGCCAGGCCGCTCTCCTCACCCTGTTGCCTGGACTGGGCTTGGGTGCCGTGGGGACAACAATGAGGGGTGTCCCCTCCCTAGAAGCCAGCCTACGGAGCAAGACAGTCATGAAAGCAAATACTAAAACTACTGTGGGACGAGGGTCTGTGAGGACCCGGGAGCACAGAGGAAGGGGGTGGACATAGAGTGAGCAAAGAAGGCAATGTTAGGGAACTTTACAATTAAATCTAAGCTGACTAAAATGTTAATTAAATACTATGTATAATCCCCCTCCCATGAAAACCCCACAGACCCGGGCTCTGCGTGCATCCATGTGTTTCGTCAGCGACCGTCTTGTTTCACCTTGAGCAGGTCCCTGGAGAAGAGTTTTTCCCTCTCAGATGATGGTATTCCGTACGAGGGAATAATACATTCACACACACACACACAATTATTTACTTAAAAGAGTGTTGGGAGACTACCAATGCCTTTGGAAACTGTCCTTATATATTAACTAAATAATAAACCCCATAGTCGAGAGGCCTTAATAAGGATATAATGAAGTCAGCAGAAACAACGTTTTGAAAATATCATTTCTTGGTTTGGGGATCACAAATGATTTGTTTATTTTCTTGATGTTTTCTATAGTCCATATTCCCTGCAATGAACACCTGTTATCTGGTGGTCTGAAAAGTCAGATTATCAGACTAAATCAAACATACACTGAAAACTTATATTTTCAGACAGTTGGTACTTCCTGACTTTGAAGGGCCCAGAGCAATGTCTTTCTAGACTGTTCCTGAGTCAGTGGAGTCTTCTTTGCTCAAAAGAGATGATGCTGGGTCTGGGGGAATGGGGTTTGGGGTGCAAACAGTGGGAGCCTGTTGGCAAAGCAGACACCATCCTTGTCTTCCAGGTGTTCCAGTGCCTCCTGATTGAGGGTGAGAATTCCGGAGAGGAAGCTCTGAGGGAAGCGCAACAATTCGTTATCAGCGACGAAGAATTTGAAGGATTCTTAGACCGCCACAAAGAGGTGTCCTGTCTGGTGCCCGAGTCCAACCAGAAGGTTGTATGACGCAAACGTGGCTTGGTTCATCACCACAACTTGAGACTGATTCCAAACAGGGAGCTCTAGCTCGGAGGGATTCACACGCTGTTCCTGTAGAGGGTTCTAGAGCAGGCTGGGAGGGGTGCTGTCCCCTTCCCACTGTGGGACCTCTGGAGGAGCTTCAGTGGCCCTTCTCCCTCCCTGTCCTTGACCATGCATCCCCCACTATTCCCACAATGGGAGCTGTTCCAAGGACACGGCCTTGAGCAGGGATAGCTTCCTATAGGAGGGTAGGTGCACCTTCCACATACCTAGAGAAGGTATAACTAGTTACAGGTAATGAAGTCACAGTAGAATCTTCAGGGAAGCTCCCAGGGAATAGCGTTAAAGCTTTACAGATTGAATAAAGGGGGACATTCAGTGTAGGGTCGGAACAGCCATTGGGAATACTGAGTGAAGAACAGGGCTGTCCCACAGCTTGAGGAAATGGGGAAATTCTCCTGGGGATGATTGTCAGAGAAGCTGTCAATGGAGGCCATTTGATGCTTCCAGAACCCAGAGAAGCCTGGCATCTGCTAGAATCTGAACAGACACAGATGGATGTCCTTGGAGATGCGTGTTAGGGGGCTGGGGGCGCCAGCCGATGGATTGCCTTGGAAGGGACACACCCAAAGCCACTGAAGTAGTAAAGCACAAACATACAGACCCTGTGGGACAGACCGTTGAGTGCACGCACTGAAAAATGCAGCTGGAACTAAATTCGTGTTCAATTTCTCTTTCACAGATGAAGGATTCCTACCTTATTCTGGATGAGTATGTAAGTATTAGTAAGGGATTATAAACTTTGAAAACTTTTAAATAAAAATAATTTTTTAAAATGAAAAATTAATTAAGCTGCTGTGTCAGTGTTGGGCTATCATGAGCCTGACCCGTCCCAATTCTTCTTCCGGGCCGGCATTTCCTGTGTTTGTGGTCACTGATGGGCGTTCGTGTTACAGAGCCGTTCCTGCACTGGGTGGGTTCCAAGCTATGCACGTGGGCAGGACTTTGCTTGACCCCGGCCCCATGTCTGCACCCACCCCAGGCGATGGGTCCCTGGATGTCACCTTGAATCTAACACTGTGAAAGCCGAGTCCTGTGTCACGCAGTCTTGGGCTGGGAGTTTCCTGGCAGTGGGAGCCCAGGGAACTTTGGAGGAAGGTGTTCTCACACTTCCCATTACCTTTCACACCTCTGATGCTCCTCGTCCCTGATGGATAAGCCTTAGCCCAGTGAGAATCCGTTACAGCTCCTCTCCCAAAGCCCCGATTGAGTTGCTACCCTCTGCCTCAGAAAGAAAAAAGAAAATCTATCCCTTCTCAAATTTGAAAGACAAATCACTTTTTTCTTTCCTTTGTCTTTTTTTGGGGGGAAGGGCGAGATTCATAAACTATTGCCAGTTGTTCTAGGATAGGATGAACAAGTCCATTCAAAGATGTTTCTAAGAAATGAGCTCAGGGCACCTGGGTGACTGAGTGGTTAAGGGCCTGCCTTAAGCTTAGGTCATGATCTGGGGGTCCTAAGATCAGACCCCATGTTGGGCTCCTTGCTCAGTGGGGAGCCTGTTTCTCCCTCACCCTGCCTCCCTGCCCACCCCCCTGTTCCTGCCCGACGTCTCTCTATCTCTCTCAAATAAATAAGTAAATTTTAAAAATTAATAAAAATAATTTTTTTTAATTTTTATTTATTTATTTTTTTTTACAAAAGAAAGAAAGAAATGAGCTCTAACAAGAACAATGATTCAGTGTATACATGGAATTTGGTTTTTTGAGAAATACCTGTTTTGACTTTTGATATTTTAGTGTTTTCAAATTAATCAATGACACTTCATAGCCATTTCATTGTTTCTCAATACGAGCATTCTTCATGGGGCGTAAGGGGAAAGGTGACGCTAACGTTCTGCGTATGGGTTTGAGGTAGAGAGGAAAGGTCAAACAATTTATTTTTATTTTTGTCTTTTAAATTTTATTTTTAGAGAGTGCACATGCAAGGAGGGAGATGAAGGGGAAGGGGCAGAGGAAGGGGGAGAGGGAGAATCTTGGGCACCACGTTGAGTGTAGGGCCCAAGGTGGAGCTTAATCTCACGACCCTGAGACCGTGACCGGAACTGAGATCAGGAATTGGACACTTCATTGACTGAGCCACCCGGCAGCCCAGTTTTTATTTTTGGAGTGTCGTGACTGGCTGGGGATTTTGACCAAGGCTCTTCAACAAACTCTTGGCTCTCCACACAGTTACCACAAACAGTGAACCAAAAGTTGCTTTTGGTAATTTAAGAATATTCAAGGTATTACTACAAGATGCTTAGTGACAGGGTAGGTCAGAAGACGTGTGAAGGCCTCATTCTTGCCTGTAAGGTGTTCAACGTAGGAGGAAAAGTGCGACCCTTCAGTAGGTGTCTATGACACTTCTTGGCCTCATACTTGACTTTACTTCCTTTTTATCCCTCTTTCTCCTTTTCTCAAAAGAGATTTTTATTCATGTTATGCCATATATTTATAAACCATTTTCACTCCAGCAACATCATCTACCTGCAATTTCCTGAAGACATCATCCTGTTTCATGCATCTGTGCTTTTATAACACTGTTCTCTCCAGACTACGATTTCTGAACATCACCCCTCCCGCATGGAGGCACATGCACCAGCTGTGGCACACGTGAAATTCGGTTGATCGTGCACTTAATTGGTCAGATGTGTTTTTGTTAGTTAAAGTGAGCTACTTGGGCAGAGAAAGGGTCTTCAAGGAGGTCAGCATCCTCATATGGTATCTGGCCCACAGCCTTCAATAAATGTTTGTTGAAATGACATTATCAAAAATCATTCTGAATTAATTCCCAGAATTGAATTTCAAGGAATCGATTATACAAAAATATCTCCTTTCTGTCTTTGAATTTTCTAGATGCGCTTCCTAAATTGTAGGAATGGGCGGAAGGACCCTTCCAAGTCAATCCTGGATGTTGGTGTAGAAGAAGCTATCAAATTCAGTGGATTTGATGAAAAGATGTTTCTGAAGCGAGGAGGGAAATATGTATGGAGCAAGGCAGATCTGAAGCTGGACTGGTAGAGCTGGACGTGGAAGCAGCATCCACCCACCGGTGGGGACTCTCACTCAGACTCAAGGTGTGGCAACTTCCGGGAGCGGCACTTCCTGTCGGCATTTTGCAATGGCCCCAGGTCGGATTTTGTGTTGCGCAGGCTCTCCGATTCTCTGTGGTAACTGAACACACGAATCATTTGGGCCATCAAAACCCACAGATAATGCCGAACCATTAACTTTAATTAATTCGCTTATTTGGGATTTAGGTTTTTGAGCAGTTTTCTGGGACTCCTGGTTCCCCGATTTTGATGTTATGTTTCCAGTCCTTTCATTTCATAGAGTCGGGCTGTTGTTTTTTGTTTTTTGTTTTTTGTTTTCTGCTACATACTGAGATGCCAATTTTCACACCTAGAGCCATTACAAATCTCTCCCCCAACTGTTCTGTTTGTTGCAATGCTCTTTCCTTCCTGCCGTTCTACCACTGAAGTCTTGGACTCTTTACCCAGAGGTCTAGAAATGATCAGCAGATGTTTCAAAGAGTAGGCGATGATCACCTTACCAGTTTTCAGTAAGTACCTGGAAGGAGATGGTTGGTCTTCCCGTGCTCTGCACGACCCTGGCCCGCGCTGACTATTCCATGAATGTGAGCCATCTCTGCCGCTCTCCTTCCTTTCCAAGAGTCTCAGCAAAAGCAACAAACCCTGTGCACTTCGTGACAAAGCTGACACAGGGTCCGTGTTTGGGTTGCCTTATGAACCTGTTACTCCTGCCACCTCAGTCTGCCAAGTGAGTTCATTGGAATAGACAGTTGTCCCCACATCTCTGAGAAATGATGCCTTATGGCTCAGATGGTTAAACCTTCAGCTCACGTCATGAGCTCCAGGTCCTGGGATCGAGCCCTGCATCGGGCTTCTGGCTAAGTGGGGAGTCTGCTTCTCCCTCTGCCTGCTATTCCCCCTGCTTGTGCTCTCTCTGTTTCTCTGTCTTTCTCCCTTTCTCTCTCTCAAGTGATTTTTAAAAATAAAATCTAAAAAAGAGAAAAAGGAGAAGGAAAAAGAAAGAAAGAAAGAAAAAGAAGGAAAGGAAGGAAGGAAGGACGGACGGACGGACATCTTACTAGATCAACCTATTGTGTAAGGAAAAGCACTGGACTAGGATGTAGGAAGGCATGTGTGGAAGCGTCTAGAATGTACCTGGATTTTATGTAAATGAAGCCAGGGCACAATATATTAGGTCTCAACTAACTCTGAATCACTTGAAATAAGGACATAATTTCAGTCAATAGGAGAAGTGCCTTCCTTTCTCAGCTTCTTTGAGAAATGTCACCTAAACGGGGTCAGGGAACAAAGTCGCCTCCTTGTGGAAATATCAGTGCAGTTTGTTTATGTAATTTAGACAGTATCTCATTGCCTGGAAAACAACAATTTCCTATCATTGTTTCAGAAAAGCAAAATCATGGAAAATTTTTTTGCCCAAGCATGAGTTTTAATCTAGCTGCCATACCAGTATGGGTCACTAGGTGGCAGTAAATGTTGCCTGAGTCCATAAAGCAGTGACAGAATGCACTTAATCCACTTTCCAGACTTGGTGGTTTTGAAAGTTTGGTTTTTGTAAATTTTTTTTTTTGTCAGAAAATATATTTCTACTTCATATTTTAAGTCACTAGAATTCAACTGAGATATTTTTGTGTCTCATCTCAAAAAAGGTAACATAAATGGGTAAAATAAATATATAAATATATAAATAAAATTTTTAAATTAATTAATTAATTTAAAAACAGGATAGCTTGTCATGTATTTTTCCATTTTACTTTGTGTTATATTTTAAGAGAAAAATGAACTAGAAAGCTTTTTTCCTGTATGGGTTTTGACAGCCACTAAGCTAGAATTACCTTAATATAATCTGTATAAATATAAAAGGTTTTTTTGTTTGCTTTTTTTTCTTTAATGTAACATAAGCACACTTTGCTGATATTCGCATTATTCAGCAAGAGCAAGTTCAGCAAAGAAAGACCACAGATGTGGAAACCCTGAAGACATTGTCTGGAAGACAGTGGGGCCTCAGTCATTATTTGAAACAAAATCTAGGTCAGAAGCCCACATCCTCTGAGTTGGAATGAATTTCTCTCAAATTCACTCAAATTCAAAATGCAGGGAATTGTATAACTCTTCCCCCAAAGGGAAGTCTAAAACATAGAAAAATAAAACAATGGCACCTGAGAAATATTTTAAATATTTTTCCAACCAGTTTGACACCAGTGCTTCACAGCCTTGTGCCCGGTCAGGATTTGCAATGTTTAAAATACCTAAATGTTTTCTTTTTCTTAGAAGGAAGAAATGTGGACATATAGCACTAGGGTAAAATTCAGATTTGGATTACCTAACATTTTGCTTTATTTTTTCAGTTCTAAATAGAAGTTTGCAGTTTTGTGAAACACTTTTTTTTTTTTTTTTTTTTTGGAAAAAACAAACGGAGGGCACTCACCGTGGTGGGCACTTGGTGGTGAATGGATGTGCTGGGTCACTATATTGTACACCTGGAACTAACACAACACTTTTGGTTACCTGGAATTAAAAAAATAATCATAATTAATGAAAAAAGAGAGGAAAGTATCAGATGGTAATTTATCTGAGGCATCTCAATGTAAGTGTTGAGGTCAAAGTTTTTGTGGTGTTTTTAAGGAGGTTTACACTGTAACAATATGAATGGAATTCTGCCTTAAGAAACCCATGAAAGTCAGACATGAGTAACGCCGTATTGGTTGAAAAAGCATGAAGCATCGCTGTCATTTAGTGATAAACAACATGAAAGTTGCCTACTTTCTCTGAAGTTTGAAGATGGCGGAGGTCATCCAGCTGAATCATCTGGACTCGGGCTCCCGTTTCATCTCCCGGCGTTTGGACTCTAGCCGTAGGATTGGTAGAGAGAACCGTGATGTTAAAACTAGCAGAAGTCTCGATGAGGCTCCGTCAGGCAATAATTCTCCTTCTTGGCCTGCCCACTTATTGAAAGACCGTTTAATCAGCTGGGATTAGGGGGACACTCGCCATGCTGTGAGATTTTAAGTGTTTGTCTTGAGTGTATATAGGTCCCAATTTGGGGGAAAAATATATTTTCTTCTTCATATGTGATGCTCTTGAATACCAGTCTGATGTATTGTAAGATGCTGTAATATATTAAAATATTTTTGTACAACACCCTCTCTCTCAGTGGGTCGATGTAATGAAGCCCCTCCTTGGTGCATAATTAAAGGAATTGTGTGTTTTTACAAAATGCCATTGCTAAAGGCAAGTACAATTTAAAAATCAAGGTTATCAATAATTAATAAGTATATTTAGGCAACCCAATCAGCAACAAGATAGAGTATAGATGAGTCCCTTGGGGAAAATGCCCTTTGTATTTTAAAATGAAAGCCAGCATCTTGGAGACCAGGTATCTAAAACTTGGTCATGCCTGGGATAGCACTGTCCTCCATACCGGGGGTCCTAGCTCCATGCTCTGAGTGTGAACTGGTCAGATATCCAAGGGGCAGGCAGGTGCCTTGCACTGGAGTCCAAGGAGGTGCAGAGCTCACCCTGGCACCCTGGTTCCCAGCTGTGGGTTCAGTCCAAGCCCTTCCTTTACCTCCATCCACCTGTCCTGATGGGCCCAACGAGTATGGGAACAGCGAGCCCTCCCCCCGCTGCAATCCAACACTCCTCCCTCTCATCCCTCCAATAACTGATTTATCTTTTCATTCAGAGCATTTCAACTTGTTCCCGTCTGATTCTGCTTGGAGTTTCTGGCTCTTAGAGCCAAGAGCTCTGCATTCCTGGCCCCAGTGTCCACCTCATGCCCTCCAGACTTGGATGGGTCCCCCTTGGCCATGCAGCATTCTCTCAGACATGCCCCTTCACCTGACCTCTGCTTAGGGCACTCACCTCTCCAGGAGAGATGCGACCTCAACTACCCTCATCCTCCTGGATGCCTGCCAGCGCTGGGCACCAGCCCCAGAGAATGGGTCAGATCCAGGGCCTTGAGGACAGGGAAAGAGTCTTAAGGAGGCAGCTTGAGTCCTTGATCATTGTGTCTGGGCCACATTTGGGGTACACAACCCCTGCTGTCACGTGCCCTATCCAGTCGGGGCAGGGGGAGGGTGAATTACAAAGAAAGCCTACACAGCAAGTCCAACTCAGATGCTACTGAGATGGGCTGGAAAAGCCCGAAAGACTTCAACGTTTTTTTCATGATTCTAAAAATAATACATTTTTGGCATACATTTGGAAAACAGAGGAAAGCAAAATGAAAGAAATAAAAATTATCCCTAATTGTATCACCCAGAGGTAACTGCTAATTTACTTCAAGTCTTTCTGGTCAGGCATATTTTTTAACAGAATTGAGTTCATTCTCAATTTTATTTCCCACATAAAATCTTCTGAAGGTTTTTAAAGCCAATTAGCATTCTTATACTTTAATGAGAACAGCCAGTTCCTCACGATTCACACTAATAGATGAGAAGACATTCAATGTCCTTCTAAAAACCACAGTTGGTTTAAAAAAAAAAAATCACTGGCGTTGGTTTTTGAGTTGCTTACACATTTGTTGATGAATGTGACTATATCTCAAGTTTTGGGAATCCACTTTATCCTGAAAAAAAAAAATAATAGTAATAAAGCTTCTCTGTGCAAACTCATTCCTGGAGGATCTGAGAAATGGCCCAAAAGTGATTTATGTTTTCATTCAGCGCCATCTTGACTTGGCCCTGTCTGATTTTGCTCTCAATTCGATGCAAGCTTTCTTCCCACCATGGAGCAATTCTCCAGGACCTGTGGGTGCTCCATAATTCACCTCACTCTGATGGATGTGCCTGAGATAGCAGTGGGTGCTCGGGCTAAGGGTTCAGCCCACAGGACTGCCCCACACACCCTTCCTCAGATGCCAGTCCCAAGCCCAGGGCATCGCCTGTGTTCCTGACTGACCAGCTATAGATTAGAGGTTCCCACAACCCCTCCTCGGGTTCAATTAATTCTCTAGAGAGGCTCATGGAA